CATAAAACATCTTATACTTAGGCTATTTTAAGCTCATAATAACTTTAATCATATACAAAAACTACACTTTTATTCCCCTCTTCACATTTTGTGATTTTGATTTCAACATTTACATCTTTTTCTAATTTGTATCTTGTAACTATAGTTGTTTTTAATAGTTTTGTCTTTTAACCCTCATATTAGAGATAAAATTCCTTTACATACCACCATTAAAGTACTAGATATTCTGAATATGATTATGTATTACTTATACCATTGAGTCTTATAATTGCATGTGTTTTATGGTATTAATCAATGACCTTTTACTTCATTTACCTTTAAGCTAAAACAAGCTTAAAGAACTTGTTTTAGCAGTTCTTTTAAGATAGGCCTTCTGATGTTGAACTCTCTTAGCATTTGTCTGGGATAGTTTTTATTTCTCCCTCATTTCCGAAGGACAGTTTTGTTGGATAAAGTATTCTTGGTTGACAGGTGATTTTTTTTTTTTCTTGAAAAGTCCACTGTTAGCCATATTGGGGCTCCCTAGTATGTGACGGGTATCTTATCTCTTGCTGCTTTGAATTTTAACAGTTATCTTTGAATTTTAACAGTTGATTATGGTGTGTCTTGGTGACCTTCTCTTTTGGTTAAATTGGATTGGAGACCTCTGAGCTTCCTGTGACTGAATGTTGGTGTCATTCCCTAGATTTGGAGAATTTTCAGCCATTATTTTCCTAAATATGCTTTCTGGCCATTTTTCCCTCTCTTCTCCTTCAGGCACTCCTATTTCTCAGGCGGTATCTCATAATACCTTTAGGCTTTCTTCATTCTTTTCCTTTCTTTATCTATTTGCTCTTCTGACTGGATAATTTTAAATGTCCTCTTTCAGTGATTCTTCTGCTTGATCAAGTATACTGCTCAAGCATTTTATTGAATTTTTCAGTTTAGGTATTATATTTTTTTATTGCTAAGATTTCTATTTAATTTAAAAAATTTGTTTGTTTCTTTGTCAGACTTGCTTTGTTAATTATTTTTCAAATTTCATTTGATTTTTTTATCTGTATTTTCTTGTAGTTCCCTGAACATTTTAAAGAGAGGATTATTCTCAGTTTTTTTCTCTCATTTCCTAGATCTCATTTCTTTAAGGTCCATTATTGGTGCTTTATTACTTTCTTTTAGTGGTGTCATTTTTCTCTGATTCTTCATCATCCTTGTATCCTTGCATTGGTGTCTGTGCACTTGAAGTGGCCACTTCTTCCAGCTTTTCCAAGTGTTCTGCCCTACACCCCTCTCACTTGAGATGAAGGGGGTAGACCTTCACTGTTTAGCCTGAGAGTATGAATTGGCCATCTGGTGGTGACCATAGGCAAGCAGACCTTGCTGTTGGGCTCTCTGGCTGGGCTGCTGCTGGTGCTTTGAGGTCAGTGAAGCTATTGGCTGTACTCCATGGTCTTATGAAACCACTGGCCGGTCTCCATCAGCCAGTGAGGCCACTGACTGGGTTCCAAGGTCAGGTGGAGTTGCTGGCTGGGCTCTGCAATTACCTTTGATTGGGCAGGGTTGCTGGCCATATTCCCTGGCTGAGTGCTACTGCTGTTTAGAATTTATAATTGGACAGGGTTGCAGGCTTGACTTCAAGGTTGCTGGGTTTGCTGCTCAACTACTTGGGACAGGCAGGGCTAGAGATTGCTCCACAGTATGCAGTCACAGGTTTGCCTCCCTGCCTGGGCCCAGGCAGAACCTCAGGCTGGACTCCAAAGCTGAGTGGAGTCACTGCTTAACTGCTAAGGTTGAGCAGGGCCAGTTACTGTGTTCTGCAGATATGCAGTGATGCAGGTTTGCCTCCTGGCCTCAGGAAACTATATGCACAGCTGTGAAGTTAGGCAGGGTCACTAGAGCCTGGCAGGACCAGATGCTGACCTCTACAGATTTACGCTAATGTGCACTCGCCTCTGGGTCTGGGGTAACCATAAGCAGAGTACTGAGGCTGGGTGTTTTTTTCCACTCGCCCTCTCAGTTCTTACCCATATGCTCTCTTCTACACTTATGTGCTAATGCATACTTGCCTCCTGGCCTAGGAAGACTTTAAGCAGAGAACTGAGACTCTGCTTAAGGATTGGAGAAAGCTTGGGTGTGATAGTGGTAGGGACTCAGCCCTGGCAAACCTGTCCACTGTGCTTTCTGCAAAGCAGTGCTATTCACTGGTCTCTCTGGTCTGGCGCTTCCATTGACAGGAATGTAGTCATTACCAAGATCTGTGCTGCAGCCACTATGAACCCCATCCCCCTTCTTTGTTTTTTGCCAACCCCAGATGGTCTAGCCCTGTAGGAACACATGAAATGATACAAAAGTGGGCTTCCTGAGAAGCATCCCAGAATACTGGGGAGCTTAATGTTCACCTCCAGCTTTCTTTTTCTATGGTAGAAACTATAGGCTCGGGGGACTCCTCTCTGTGTGGTACTTTACTGGCTTGGAAAGGGGTGACACCGTCAGAGTGAAGCTGTTCCTTTTAACCTTCTAATGCAGGTTTTCTCAGTTCTGTGATCCCAGAGAGTGTCTCAGCTCACTCCTGAGTTCTGGGATATTCATGAAGGTATACTTGTCTGTGGACAGTAACTAGTTCGATTTCTATGAGGGGGACCACAGCCAGGAAACTCTTATTCCACCTTCTTGCTGGAGATTTTTAAGACTTATTAAAAGAGATGTCACTCTTCATAACCTTGAAAGAGGAAGTTTTAAAAAATAGATATTAGAAGAAGTAGTAGGAGTCATTGCCATTTGAAGAGTAATTAGAAGTCACAATATAGAATGTTTAAGAGGACAGTATAAGCCAAGTTGGAAAAAATTTGTTTTTTGATTTTGAAGGAGAAAATCATTCATCCTATATATAGAGATATAATCATTGCTGACTGTTTAGTATAGAGATTTCTTTTTAGCATTTTATGTTTATTTTTGTGACTACTTTTTAAAAAAATATTAATGAGTCTAGATTATTTATAGCTTGCTCTTCTTAACCTGATGTAGTGAACATTTCCCATCAATAAATATTCTTTACAACATGACTATAATTAAAGACTATGATGCAGTTATATCATAATTTATCTGAACCAGCTCACTTTTTGAAGATAAAGATATATATGTCCATCTATTTTATCTTATAAATAATATCTTTATAAATATATCTTTGGGTACACCCTCTGTTTAGATCAGTAGGATATTTTGATAAGTATAAATTGACGGGCCACAGAGTGTGAGATACACAAATCTTTTGTATTTGTGTATTTGTGTATTTGTGAGATATACAAGGCTTTTGAAATGTATTGCCAGTTTGCTCTCCAGAGGAGATATACCACTGTACACTCCCACCAGTAGTACCTGCCTCTCCAGGCTTCTCTAACGTTGGATATTATTCTTATTTTACTATGTTAATTTGATTTTTAAAAAATCATATTTTAAAATTTTGAATTTATTTGATTCAAAGTTGAACTCTTAAAGTATGCTTACTGGCTAGTGGTATTTTTTTGTTAGTTACCTGTTGATGTCCTTTGTATCATAGTTTAAATTGTTTTTTGGGGGGTTTTGTTTTTGTTTTGGTTCTTTGAGACTGAGTCTTGCTCTGTTGCCCAGGCTGGAGTACAGTAGAGCAATCTTGGCTTGCTGTAACCTCTGCCTCCTGGGTTCAAGCAATTCTCATGCCCCAGCCTCCCAAGTAGCTGGGATAACAGGTGTGTGTCACCACGCCCAGCTAATTTTTGTAATTTTTAGTAGAGATGGGGTTTCATCATGTTGGCCAGGCAGATCTCAAACTTTTGACCTCGAGTGATCCACCTGCCATGGCCTCCCAAAGTGCTGGGATTACAGCATGAGCCACCATGCCCAGCCCTCACTGATTTTTGAAACCTATGTGATTCAATTTAAATAGACTAAAGTCTTAGTATAAAATGGCTTTAATAGGACTACTAATGAAGGCTGCCATCAAATAAGCACCCACTTTGAAACTGCACGAAGTACTTTACCTTTATACCTTATTATTTTATCTTATTTAATCTTCATTGTAGTTCAGAAGTATCTTCATTTTACATTTGAGGGACTTGAGATTCAGAAAGGTTAAATGACTTGCCCAAGATCACAGCTAATGATGGCACTGGGATTTATTTGATTCCATTTCTAACTTCAAACCTTGTGTGGTTTTCCTTATACACCTTTCTGGTACCTAGCTATTGCTTATACCTATTCTGCCTATGCTTTTTTTCTAGTATTGTGTCCCTCACACACACACACACACACACACACACACACACACACACACGTAAAATGAAGGAAAATAATTTCTAACAGAATCCATAACAAATGAATAGTGTATTTCCCTTTGTATCTTAGCCTACTTTTATGAGGCCAGTTTTTTTGTCTAGGGCTCAATTTATAGTGCTGCTCAAGAATAAACCATCTTGGTTGGGCACAGTGGTACATGCCTATAATCCCAGCACTTTGGGAGGCTAAGGTGGGCAGATCACTTGAGGCCAGGAGTTTAAGACCAGCCTGGCCAACATGGTGAAACCCTGTCTCTACTAAAAATACACAAATTAACCAGGCATGGTGGTGCACACCTGTAATCCTAGCTACTCGGGAGGCTGAGGCGAGAGGATCACTTGAACCTGGAAGGCAGAGGTTGCAGTAAGCTGAGATCATGCCACTGCACTCCAGCCTGGGTGACAGAATGAGACTCCATCTCAATAAAAAAAAAAGAGTAAACCATCTCCAAACCTTAAAAAATTCTGAGCTGCTATTTTTAAAGATAGTAGTAGATTTGATATAGACCAAGGCATTTTATCATTTTTATTTTAATTAGTATATGCTCTTGCTAAAGCACGTTCTGTGATTTTTTGTTTCTAGTCGCTTGTTTTCATATTGAGAACCAGGCACTTCTCTCAAATCCTTTTTTTTAAAGATGGAGGTATAGATAAGTGAATTAAAGAAACAGGTAAAAAATAATAATTAGTGTTCTAAATTCTTCTTGACAGAACTTTACAGACTAGCATGGCAAAGCTTCTCTCTGATCTTAGTGTGGACAGAGCTCGCTGCAAGCCTGGGAATAACCTTACCAAATCGCTCTTGAACATTCATGATAAACAACTTCAACATGACCCAGCTCTGCTCACATCTCCATAATGAGCTATCTAAATAAGTTAGAAACAAATCACAGTTTTATATATTCAGAGTCACTTTCTACAATTAAAAATGAGGCAACCATAGAGCCAGACAAACCCTATGAAAAGGTTCTGCCCTCCAGAGGCCCTCAACATAGCAACACTAGGGACATGGAGGAAGTATCTACACCCGGAATTATTTCTGCCCTTTCAAAACAGAATTCTGATGAAGGGAGCGAAACTATGGCTTTATTAGAAAATGAGCATAATTTGGATAATACAATATACATTCCTTTTGCTAGAAACACTTCTGAAAAGAAATCACCACTTTCTAAGAGGCTATCCCCTCAGCCACAAATAAGAGCCGCCATAACACAGCTAGTCAGCAACAGTGGACTTGCTGTCTCTGGAAAAGAAAATAAACTGTGTACATCTGTAGCCTGTTCCTATTCAACAAAGGAAACAGAAGATGTACCTGAAAAGCTTTCCAGAACATCCGATATGAAGGACATACAGCTCCTCAAGAAAATAAAGGAAGCAATTGGTAAGATCCCTGCTGCCACCGAGGATCCAGAGGTACAAACTGCATGTCCTGGCCCATCAAGTTGTGTTAGCAACAGCATTCAAGTGCAGGGCAGTACTGTCTGTGATGGTAGTGTTTTCACTTCTGACTTGATGTCTGACTGGAGCATCTCTTCATTTTCAACGTTCACTTCTCGTGATGAACAAGGCTTCAGAAATGGCCTTGCAGCATTAGATGCCAACATAGCTAGACTCCAGAAGTCCTTAAGGACTGGGCTTCTGGAGAAATGAATTCAGAAGAAAATTCATCAAGTGCTTCTTTTTAAAACTAGAACTTGGCCTTATTGAACATGTGTTCTTCTTTAGTGAGATGATGTTTTTATATTCTTAATTATGTGTGAAATAATAAATTGTACAAGTAATAAATATATTATTGGGATATATTGACACTGAGGAGCTTATAAAAACAAGTCATCTTAAGAAGTTGACAATTGCTACAAGAAGCAAGTTGTAGATAACTAGGAAATTATTGTAAGTAATGTTTTATTTCAGTACTTAGCAATTAGAGTTCTTTTATTACGATGTACCTTCTGGATTAAGAGTATGGGTTGAAAGAGTTCTGTGGTTGTCCTAAAAGATAATGGGAAAACAATCTCTGGATGTAAGTTTTTCTCTTCAAACTAGAGTTTTTTGTTTGTTTCAGTGTACTTTTTTTGTTTGTTTGTTTAATAGCAATGTGTTTTTATATGGGATGCTGTGTGCTACAGGCTAGTGTTGTTGGTGACATATATAAACATTTATTTAAAGAGAAAAGTTACTTCTTAAAAAACATTGATTGGTCTAAAAAAATATATAGATAACATCCTAAGTTAACATATGGCTTCTTAAAACTTGGGCACTTTTATTTGTTTTTATCCCAAACGCATGTTTTAAGGCCTTTAAAGAATAGTCAGAGTGATAAAGAAGTGCTCACAAATAAGCTATACTTTGGGAAATTTGTTTTCTTTTAAATAAGAAATGTTCATTTTTGTCCTTTTATTTGAACATGATGGAATTTGTGAATCTTGGCATTGGTTGTAATGCTACCTTTTGGAATAATTTTTTTTTCCAGCTTGTTAGCTGAGAATATTCTCTATTCTGTAAATAAGGTGAAGTAGGAGGACCTAGAAGAGACTAAACTTCATTTGGATCTTGAAGAATACATAAGATTTGGGTAATCCTGTGAACAGCTTTACATGTTTCCCTCTTATAAAGTCAGTATCATCAAAATGTGGGGATTGAATTTTGTACATTAGGATGATGGTAGACAAACATGACTGAAACAGAGGCAGGGAGGGGTGGTAATAATAAATTAGAAAAACACAATTAGAAGATTTGCGTCAGTTGTGGAATGTCTTGAGCTTCAGCCTGAGGAGTATCCATTAAACATGAAGTCATTGGAGTATTTGGGTATCTTTGGTGGTGGTGGTTTTTTGTGTTTGTTTTTTTTTTCAATTGAGAGTTAGCAGGTGAAGTTGGGTATTCTTAAAATGTCATAGAGTGGTAGTAAATGGGCAGGGTTAGAGGAGGGAGAGGCTGGAGACCATTTAGAAAGCTGTTGCAGTAGTCCAGACATTGATAATCCTTTGGCAATAAAAGTGAAAAAGGAGAGACAAATTGAAGAACATTTTTCAATCAGCTGGGTGACTTAATAATAACTGAAGGGTATAGAAGAATCAAAGATGACTCCAAGGTTTTCAGTTTAATCAGCTTGAGACACACTGAGCAATGTCTAAAATGAAAAATCTTAGTTAAGTTCCAGGTTGTCTTGATTAGAATAAAAAGGGGAGAGTGTCCATTTTCAGTTGTTGTTTTTAAATAATCTCAGCAGGGGTCGGCATTACTGCCTCCTGATCTCAGGAGGGTCAGGCTGGCCCCAGATCCTAGCCCTCTCACAGCCTTTTCAGATGCCCCAGAGTACAAAAAGCATAGTAGTGGATCTTCAGAATGTCCTCTAACCTCTGACAGACTGAAATTTTTGTCTCCTGGTAGATATTGAGCATGGAATGAGAAAGAACCATCCTCTAGCATTTTGTCACTGTTTTACTGTCTTTGATCTGTGGAGGTAATATACAACCCTTCACAATGAATTTAGTATTTGTGAACACCATTGAAGATAACGGGTAGAATCTGATGCTGTTGGACCAAGCGTAGAGATCCTAGGGGCAGGGCTAAAGAACCAAAGAAGTACTTAGCACATGTTCTTCCCTTATTCCCACTGCTCCTGGAGTTTACTAAATCTTTCAAAATCCTTTACTTTTCACTGAGGGTGGCGTTTTACTTGTCAAGTGCCTTAAAGGTGACAAAGGCCTGCTCCAACCACATGGAAAGTAGGGCAGCATTGTAAAACCTGCTTAGGTAAAAAGGGCATGCAGCTTCATCACAACTGACCAAGTAGGTATCAGGTGCTCACATTCTCTCAGCTAAAGACTCATTCACTCAGTGAATGAAATGAAAGCCTTAATATGTGCCAGTTACTATTGTAGGCTCTGAGATGACAGCAGTAAACAAGACAGACATTCCCTGTCCTTAAAGAGCTTATGAAACAGTGGGACACAAGCAAAGGAACATATAGTAAGTTCTGTGAAGAAAAATACAGCAAGGTAAGGGAACAAAGAGTGACAGCATTGGCTTAAGTTTTAATTACTAGGGTAACAGGCCCCATCTCTAAAATTATGTTTAAGGGTCCAGAATTTAGGAACCATTGGGGAAAGTTGAGTTTGATTTGTAAGATAACACTCCCTTAATCATTTTTCAAATGTTAGTTCTAGATTTCCTTCTGCTCAGAATTGCTTAAATGTGGGGTTTAAGATTATAGCATACATTAACAAACACACTGCAAAGCCCCTTAAGTTTTCTGAATGTATTAATATTACCACTTGTAGAGAACCGGGCATTATTTTATTTAAAGCTGTTGTCTTGAGCTAACCCTCCCATAGAAGTACCAGAGATGATGATATCTTAGACTTCCGAAGGGTTTTAAAAGTTAACTTTTTGAAAGGACTACAGAAATGATCTCACGGTTGCACCTAAAGAAAACTGTTCTACAGTGATACCTACTACTAGATACCTACTACTGGAAGATCCCAAGCACACCAGGGATATTCCTTTTGCCTGGACTGCCTTTTGCTCAAGCTCCTCCTGACAAATTTTTATTTATCCTTGAAACCTATAATACTACTTCTGTACCTTGTATATACTTCTAGTGATGCCTTTATCAGTATCCACATCAGCCTTTCCTACCCTCTACTCTTCTGGAGGACAGGGACCAGGATTGATTCATTTTCACCTGCCCTCATGACCCTTCGTGACTATCATATAGTTTGTACCTAATAACTATTGTTGAACTTAACTAAATCTCTGTAGATGATCATCTAGGCATAACTTGATTTTCTGTTGGTGTTAAGTTCATGAAACAGCTTGTTAATAGCTTTATTACACACATCTAAGTTTCTAACATTAGCCTCCCCGTACCTTTTGTTCTTTATTCAGTTTCTAACTTCTGAAACCAAATTCACTTACTGGCAAACATTTGCACATTGCAGCTTGTGCTGTGGAGAAGCTACAGATTCTTAAATATTTAGGACAGAAACTTTGTTTTTAACCATGACACTAGTGCATATTAATCTATCCCACCAGCCTGCCTTACCAGTTTTTGGGAGGGATGAATGTAAGCAAAGCACTGGAAAACTCCAGGGCACTGTACAGTCTGTGACTTATGATGATATTTAAAGAGTCCTCACCATCTGGCTTGCCCTCTTCCGATTTCCGCCAGTTTGTCAGTGAGTCCCTCAAAATTTAAGTCCAGCGATGAACTCCAGATGTGACCTGATCCAAGTGGACTGCAGTTAGATTGTCATTGTCTATAATCTTATCGTAGTTTTAAAATGGACAAAGGTTGAGCTGACTGTCTTAGCCATCACACTGCAGATCATGTTAGGGCTGTAGTTAGTGTCCCGATAATATTAATAATGTTATTCTCGGTGTTGAGTGGCACCATATTAGGGCAGCTGGGGCAGTAAGTCATGGAGGCCATTTCCATCTAGCTAAAAATGAGCATTTCTTCAAAGATGAAGGTTCTAACTAGATAAGTGGTCTCAGCTGCTTCTAAAGGAAGAGCTCAAGTTGACCACAGACTCTCAGTGCTTGTTCTCCTTGAAGCCAGGTCTGCCTTTAGAGGCCATGAATAATGAAATATGAAAATTAGCATGTGGAAACTGAAACCAAACATATTTAAAGACACTTGCTCAAGGCCACACACCAAAACCTTAACCAGATATTGTGATTCTCAGTTGCCTTTCTTCATTATGTTTTCTCCCTGATGACAGCTAAGTCTCATGACTACTTGAACCTTTGGGGCTCCAAAGCTGTTACCAGAACCTAGCTCTAGGCCATTCTCTCTCTACTGGCATGGTCTAATAATAAGGAATTCCCTCTGGGATTTATTGTGAGGATTAACTAAAATCACATGTGAAAATGTTTTGCAAACTACAAACATTAAGTGGATGATAATGATTACTAGTTACATGTAGTTGCTCTATGTGTATGTATGTATGTGTGTGTGTACTGTAATAGACAGTGTTTTGCTTGTGCTTTATTAAAGGTGCGCAGTATTCTTAAAATCTGTTTAGCGTGTGGCATAATGCTAGTAAAACAATTTCCCCACCTGTCACTTGGCTAATTCCATCAAAAATCATTACTTAAAACTCATTTTAAAGTAGGTGGGTTTTTCTCCCATCTACACTGGCATTTAGAGTGAGCTCTGACATTTCCAGGACCCTAGCACTATCTTCTGCTCAGCCCAAGGGTAAGGGGGCTCATAGCTCCACAGAAATCTCAAGAAGACACGGAGAAGAACACAAACTATCCAAGAGGAAAACTCAGTCCTTTTTGGAGCAAGAGACTTATACACGTTTGTTCAAATCTATAACAACAAATGTTGTCAGCCGCTCAGTAGGGAGCACACGGCCAAGGTACATATTTTCATCCCTCCAATCCTTTCCAGATTATTTTGCACTTTGCTGTGAGCTCTAGGCCCTGAGTGGGGTAAGAGACCAGATTCAAATATTTTAAAAGTAAGCAGCTCCAAAACAAGCAGAACAGAACTTCTTGGAGGGTAGTAGTTTGTTTGAGGTTTGGCAAGAAGAAAGTAGTAAAGGAAAAATAATTTTCAAACCTAGAGCCTCAATGGATTAAGAGAAAATCTTTTCTCTTTTTTTTTTATGTCAGTCAATATGATTAGACTTTTCATCTTAGGATAGAGAGATGGAGCGATAGAAGATGAGACAAAAACTAGAGCAAACCAGTAAATAACATTTGAAAAAATAGGTTTTCACTATTTAGAGCAGTGAGCTATATTCTAACACCCACCCCTCCACCACAAAGCTTGTGATCATTGTTTCACTAGAGACTCAGTCCACTATCACCACCTCTTCCCTCCCCATGTCCCAACCAGTCTACAAATCTGTCTGGTCAGATTGTTAAAACAATGGATGACAAAACACGTAAAGCAACTTCTCTCAACTCCTAACACACCCAGAAAGGGTATCATAATTTAAATTATAGTTTTGTATTACATCTTTGACCCAAATTTGGGAAAATGTCATGGTATATTATTGATTAATATAAAACACTTAAACAGGCAATGATATTTTGAGTTGGTGGGAAAGTTCACTTGAATAACATGGTGCATTAGAAAACCAAGAGCAGTGGATCAAGAGTCAGGTGACCTAGTGACTCTGTCTTTATGTGTTACGTGACCTTCGTTC